TGGATGCAAAGGAATTCACATTTGCAGCATCAAGGTCGTCCCCCCCGCCCCCGTAAATCTTTTGAGTGGAGCAGCATCTACAGTGTTTCCTACAGGAAGAGGGGAGCAGGCACATCTGATTTCTCAGTGTTTTTTGAGAGTCCGTGGAACAGATCTGAGCACAGCAGAGTACAACGTGCATCCGTCCCGTTGCACGTATCCTCATGTGTTTTCAGACGTTTCTCCTTCATCACCCGCAGCTCCTTGAGGGCAAAGACTATCTCACTTGCCGCTGCGTCCCCAGCACCCGGCATTGTCTACGGATTTGTTGTGGATCGAGGAAGCAAAAGCTCTGTTTGTTGTCTTAAAGGTTTGTTCTGAAAGACCCAGGCAAAGTCATCACAGAAAAGGAAAGAAGCTTTTCAAAAACGCAGTGTTTTCAGATAGTGAAATAAATCCCCGGCAGGCAATTTGTCCGCACATCCTTGCCAGTGAGAACGAGTGATCTGTGGTCACCCCGGCTTCGGGTCATTGCGGGGAGCCACCCAGTCCTCCTGTGCCAGACCAGGGAGGGGAGTACGGAGCTCAGGCTCATGACTCGAAGGGGCAGTTCACTGAGCCCACGGTGTTCTAGACACTCTTCTGAGTGTTATCTCACTTAGGTCATCGCCCATCGATGAAGCAGCAGTTGTGGGCCTCCTTCCGCAAACGCAGACCTTGACCTTGGGTGAAACTGGGTGATTGCTCACATGTCTGAGCAAAGCCTTCCTGGTCGTGAGTCACAGAAACCAACTAGAGCTCAGTTTTGCAAAGGAATCGAAAAGGGAGGGGCAGGGAGGGGCAAGGAGGGTCCAGGGACATTCTGTGGAGCCCACAGTCAGACATGCCACCAGAGCCAGGAGGACCTTGAACTTGGATCAGGAAGGAGCTGGGAGCCTGGCAAACACACCCCCGACGCGTCCTTCCGTCCACCGCAGAATGGCTCTTTTCTCTTGGATCTTTGTCCTTGTAGAGAAGGACGGTGGCCCCATAGATCCTGAAACCCTGTGTTCCAGGGTCAGCCGCCTGCTGAAGACCTGACCCTCACTCCCAACTCTAAGCTTTTTACAGGGACGACTGCGTCTTCTTAGTAGGGTCTGCGGCCAGGCCACACATATGGTTGCAAGTTTCTCCATGTGTGGAAACCAAGGATTTCAACCACTTCCATTTTGACTTCAAACCTTCTAATGCATTAAGGTCTTTCCAGGTATTTCTGAACTCAGCAAAAGAGCCTGCAGGCAAAGTATCCCTTGATGGGAAGTGAAACTACCCGCTCCAGCAAAGACGGCCCCGAGCCAGCCAGACCCCACCTGTGACTGACCCCAAGACAGTGATGACCTGACCTTTACGGCCGCCTGCAGGTGCCCAGTGACCTTTACCCCCCATTTTCCCTATCAACCTGGAATATTTTCAGCATCTTGAAGACAGTCTTTGAGACGCTAGTCCACTGCCTTCCCAGTGTCAGCCTCACTGGAATAAATTCCTTTCTTGTTTCACTGTCACTTGTCTCTCTGCGAGCGACTGGACCTGGTCCGTTTGGGGCCCCCGGAACCAGATGCTCTTGCACACCTGTGCCCCAGCTCCGGAGAGACGGAGTGACGGGTTCTAGACAAGTGATGGAAGGGTCGCGGGTTTGACAAACACTGAACATGCACTCACCGCATACCAAGTTGACGCAACTGGTAAGATTTAAATTTCCGTTTGTCCAAATTCATTTCAGACTCGGGGCTTCTTCTATTCCTATAATGCTTTAAAACAAATCTGTTTGATGCTTTCTTTTAGTTCCTTTAGCCTCCCCAGATGGTCATCAAGTTTCTAGAAAATCTGTTGCAGAAAGCTCGCAGGAATGAAAGTCTTTCCTTCATATGCATTTGGCTTCTCGGCTTTCCCGTGTCCCCATCTGAGCTCTGAACAATCTAAATGCTTGTTCTTGGCTTAAAATACTGACTTACAAACTCCAGTGCGCATCTGAATCACTTGGAGAGATCACTGCAACAGACGGTTGGGCCCTGCCCCCAGGTCTCTGATTCGTTAGGTCTGGAGCCAAGTTCAAGAATGTGTGTTTTTAACAAGTTCCCAAGAGGTTCTAATGCTGCTGGCCAGGGGACCGCACTTGCACAACTGCTGAACTGGAAGAGCCAGAGTCACGAGCGGGTCCCCAAGACACACGAATCACACAAAGCTGTGTTTGTTTAGTTGACCCTTGAGCATCTCAGGTGGCCCCGTGTGGGTCCACTTATATGCGGGTTTTTCTGGTAAAGACAGTACAGTGCTGTAAATGTGTTTTTTCTTCCTTATGATTCTTTTTCTAGCTTACTTTATTATAAACATACAGTATATGATACACACATGTAAACTATGTGTTAATCGACTCATTCTGTTATTGGGGCTTTGGTTAACAGCACTCTATCAGTGGTTGAGTGTTTGGGGGTCCAAAGTTATATGGATCTTGGACTACTCGCTTCCCCCCGTGGGGAGGGCAGGGGCCGGAACTTCTAACCCCTGAGCCATTGAAGGGTCAGCTGTAATACAGAAAGGACTGAAGTAGCAAACATGCAGGGAGAATTCAGCCATTGTCATTGTTTTGTTTGAGCAAATTTGGTAGAGAAATTGCTCAGAAATCTCTGAAAAGCTCTGAGTACACTCATAATTTTTCTGCAAAACTTGGAAGTGGAACTTCTTACTGTAGAGAGCTGGAATCAGAAAATGCAACAGCTGTCATGAATTTGTGAAACGAAGACCTCTAAGAGAGAAGTTTGTCATTTGACATTCTTTGGTCCTTTGAAGAGGAAACTGTTTTCCTGCAAACACATTTGAGGACGAGAACGGGAGGCACCCAGGAGCCCTGGGCGGGGTATTACGGTGAGTAAACAGAAATGGCGAATTACCGGCCCCCCGCCCGCCCTGCTCAGGACGGCGTCTGGAAGTGCGTGGTGTGAGCGTGGGGGCTGGAGGCAGGAGGCTGGAGGGTAGGGAGCTGCGAGGCACTTGCCTTTCACGGATTCTGCAGCTGTTTCGGAAATCAGAGTATCTATGAGGACAAAGCGGAGCCTTGAGAAGCAGCGAATGGAAACCCAGGCCAAGGAAACGAGAACTTAGAAGTGAATTCGTTAGAAATTGTTTTGCGGTAGACTTTGTCCCTACACTGTTTACTTGCTATTCCTGAAGGAGAAGGACTAATTTTTACATTAAAATGTCTTCCGGGGTGTTACACTGCCTCCTGCTCAGAAACCGGGTCTAACATGGTGACCTACCTTGAGGATACTTCCCGTCTACCAATCGCCTGGTAGTAATTTCTGGTCAGAAGTTACACAGTGTGGGGTGCCTGGGTCGCTCAGTCAGTTGAGCACCTGACTCGTGGCTTCAGCTCAGGTCATGAACTTGGGGTCCTGGGATAGAGCCCCACGTTGGGCTCTGCACTGAATGTGGAGTCTATTGTCCCTCTCCCTTGCTCCCCCTTCTCCCCCCGTCCCTCTCTCCAATAAATAAGTTGTTTTAAGTAACACAGCACAACCATGTAACTACTTTTGAGTAATGAGATTAATATGTGGTAAAAACTTACTTTTTATAGGCTCAGAAGTGTGACTCATTATGTGATCTACATTTTACATTTCTTAAGGCTCCAGCTTTTTAGATGAATAATGAGAAAAACTGAAGGGGCTATCTAACCGTTGAACCTTCCTGCTCAAGATGCAGCTAAACGAACATTCCCAGTGAGTAGGATTTTCAACCTCAAACACTGTCGAAGCTGGAGATAAAGTGTCAACCTCATTGGCTAAAAATTATCTTCTGGGCCTTCAAGTTTAGACCATCTTCATGAAACAACGGACTTCACCGGCTGAGGGCAGTCAGTGAGAATGTCACCTTAAGGACCAGCAGCAGAGCAGTAACTCATTCCAGTGTGACACAAAGTGTGTTCCCAAGACACCCAGCAGGAACACTTCTTCTGACACTCTGACGAACAGTTTGACTTTGCAATTTCCATTAATCATTTTTAAATGGGCCATTTCTGAGAAGCTGCATGAGCTGTGAACTGTGTGTGCTTATAAAACCCGTCTGGGCCTGTTCAAATACAAAACTCCTTCAGTTAAAAACCTGTGTCCACAAGATACAACCACGTTAATTTTGAGTGAAACCCCAATTTGTATTCTACAACATCTCTTCTGAAGATAAGTAGATTTTAGAAAACTTGCATGTTGTCCATTTAAGTGTTTATGTACCAAAATAATTGTATTCAATTACTTCCCAAATCACGAAGACTGATCTGGTGTCCGTCGGAACAGGCCCTGTTCTAAGCACCCCTCGCGGGACTTACTTCGTCCTGCTGAGAACTCCCCGGAGCACTAGACAGGGGCAGAGGAAAGGAAGGGAGCCTGGAAGCGGTCTAGAAACACACGCCGTCGTTCAATAAAAAATAAAGAGCGCTTTTATTGATTACGTGTAATTCCACTCTGTTAACATATATTATAAACTTTAAGGGTCAGAAACCGATGATACTATGTTATTCTTTACCGGGAATCATGAAGGTTATGACCGCACGGTCAGTGAGAACCGCGTCAGTCCTGGGTCACCCCAGAGCTACTTCCGGATACTCAGGGTCATCGTCCAAGCTGTGGATTAGGCGACACGTCTCATTAAGTCCGAACAGGACATTATGTTTTCTCCAACAGACACTTCCTTTTTGTCACATCCTCCTAGATGTCTCCCGTTATACTGTACAACGCCTAACTGTCTCCCCGCGGACTTGCCGGAAAGTCCGGGCACGAGACAGCAGCAAAGCGCTCCTCTGCCCTCACCATCTCGGATTTTTCATTTTTGCCCGAAACCCCACCTTATGACTAAAACTGAGTGAGCCCCGCAGCGTACTCCCTATCAGAAGGGTGTGTCTGTGTACACACAGCACAAGGACGGACGACGTCAGAGTCTGAGCACGAGTCTGGCGGCCGAAGGGCCTGAGGGACAGCGCGCCGGAGCGCTGAGCTGCGGAGCCTGTCGGGCGTCACTGCAGCTTCTCCTCTCCCTCCTCCACGTCTTTCAGGCTGAGCACTTCCAAGGAACCTCTGCCCTTCGTCGCCTTGTTTATCAGCTCGTCGACTTCCCTGAAGCAGCCCGGGTCAACCAGGCACACCTGAAACACGAACACAGCCGCTCACCTCGGGAAGACCGCGCGACACAGCACCACTGTCTCGGGGGCAAACGCGCCCTTTCCGAGTGTATCTACTGCTCGACCTCTACGGCGCAAGAGCCAAGACCACGCAGCGGCACCGGACCGGGTTCGAGTCCAGCCTGCCTTTCCCTACCCCTCCCGGTTTTTATTTAAATTCTCGTCAGCACAGTGCACGGCTGGATTCAGAATTCGGGGATTCACGGCTTACACGGTAACATCTCGCGCTCATCGTAACAAGTGCCCTCGGTACCCACCCTCATCCAGCCACCCCCACCATCACCCCTGTCTTCTATCCTCACGAAGAGTCCCTCATGGTTTGCTTCCCTCCGCTGTTGTCTCTCTCCGCCCCCCATGTTCATGTGTTGTTTCCTGAATTCCACATGTGTGTGAGATCATGTATCTGACTTTCTCAGACTTATTTGGCTCAGCGTGACGGTCTCTAGCTCCGGCCACGCTGCTGCAGATGGCCCATCTCGTTCGTGCTGATGGCTGCACCATGGTCTGCTGCACATGGACACCGCAACCTCTTTCTCCCTTCAGCAGCTGATGGGACACTCAGGCTCTCTCCGTAGTGTGGCTGTGGCTACTGCTGCTGTAAACATCGGGGTGCGTGTACCTCTTCAAATCAGTGTTTCTGTACCCCTGGGTAAACACCTAGTACGCCAACCGCTGGATGGAGGTAGCCACAGCAGCCTCTGTCTCTACGTGTGCGTGTGAGCCCCGGGCACAGGCATCCGCTCCCTGCCTGAGAACGTCTCTGGATTCCTTGGCTATAAAGTGAATGGGACTAGAATACTATGGTTCTTTTGCACTAAAATTTAGCATGAACCTTTAAAGTTCTGCGAAAGCACCGCTTTTTATGGACACCTGAAGGAGAGAAAGAAGCTCGAAGGCCCATTTAGAAATCACGCGTGAAGTTCTGAAAAGATCTGAGAACTTCAAAACGTCAGCTGTGCTGCTCCACGGTGCGGGGACGCGCAACAATCCGTCCAGAGCTCATTTACGGGGAACTCTTGCAGAATCTCAAGGCATGAATTTGCAGACAACAGACCCTATACTGTGTCTGACACCGTGGGGTGAGGACCTAAGACACAAGGTTTCTGTTGCTTCTACAAAATGTCCTGTGGTAGGGGGTGCCTGGGTGGCTCAGTCAGTTGAGCATCTGACCCTTGGTTTTGTCTCCGATCGTGAACTCAGGGCTGTGGGACTGAGCGCGGGGTCTGGCTCCGAACTGTAAAGGGAGGCTGCTTGAGATTCTCCCTCTCCCTCTGTACCCCCAAACCCTCTCAAATAAGTGCATCTTCAAAAAGAAAAAAAAAAATTCTGTGGTAAATAAGACTGTCCAACTTTTAGTCTTATTTCCAATTTTCTCTAACAGAACACTCCCTGTAAAACAGTCTCTCCTCCAAAATGAGCGCAGACTTAACAACAACAACAAAATCCCAAGTGTGCTTAACTACAAACTTAGTTTTACTTAGACCTCGACATTCTTACTTAATTCGGTGTCAGAGGTCTTGGCAATGTCTAATTGTTCACACCCTCTAAGTGTCTGTTACGCGCTTAGGATCACAGAACGGACGACTTTGGTAAGACGGAAGCAAGGGAACAAGAGTGTGTTCATCTTACAATCTCTAACTGCTGGCCGTAGTCCTCGCTCTCTATGACCTTGATCAGGGGCTTGAGCTTTTCTTTCAGCTTCTTCCCTTCGTTCACTGGGAGAAGGAACCGGAGCCTCATGTGGGCGCGTTCGATCTGCATTTTCTCCTTTAACTGCTTTATCACCTCCAAAGCCTAGGGAGACAAAATGGACGAGGGCCATTTCGCTGCTGCTTCTGCTGCATTTCTTTGTAAGGGATTCAGAACCAAGCAGGTTCTATCTGGCTGAATCGGGTGCCAGTCCTTAGGACACAGAACAGGAGCAACTGTAGGAAAAAAGTGATAAATTGGGACTTAACGAAGACAAACCTTTGGGTTTCTTAAAACGGTCAAGAAAGTGGAAAGACAACCCAGTGAAGAGAAGACACAAGCAGGTCGCACGTCTGATGAGGCACCAGCATCTAGAACACGTACAGGATGCTTACGACTGGATGATGAAGACACAGATCATTAAGAAAGGGTCAAAGGACGCAGACCATGTTTTCTCCACTGAGGACTAGGGTCAATAAGCACATGAGAATATGCTGAAATCACAGATATCAGGGAGATGCAAACCAAACCCAGAAGGATACACCCAGAACAGCTCTAGTAAAAAGGTGGATTAATTACAAACCTCATCAAAGACGTGGAGAAACTGGAACCCCTAAGCATGGGCTGTGGGAATGTAAAATGTCTCCGCTCTCTCAGAAAATGGCTTGGCAGTTCCTCAAAGTTAAATATAGCCATCGTGTGACCCAGTAATTCCACTTCTGGGTACAGAGAAATGCAAACATGTACACACAGAAACGTACACACAGGATTTCGTAGCAGCGTTATTCAGAATAGCTAAAAAGTAGAAACCACCCAAATATCCACCAACAAAATACGGTATTTCCAACAACGGTTACTACTGAGTCCTAAAAAGGAATGAGCACTGACGTATGGTAACAGGTATGAACCTTCACATGCCACTTGATTCCATTCCTACAAAATGTCTGGAACAGAAAGGTTCTGAGAGACAAAAAACAAATTTGCCGAACACTTGTGAGAGGAAGGAAACAAGGAGTGACTGCTAATGGCGACAGGGTTTCTTCTGGGCGGGGACAGAAATGTCCTCAAACCAGGTAACAGGGAAGGATGCACAAACTTTGTGAACATGCCACTGAATTACACCCTATAAAAAGACGACTTCTTTGTGTGCCACAGGAAATATGTGTAAGTAAAAAAATGCAAAATACAGAGCTGAAATAACTCTTTAGAAATCCAAGTTCCGGGGTGCCTGGGCAGCTCAGTCAGTGAAGAATCTGACTCTTGGCTTTGGCTCAGGTCATGGTTTCACGTTTGTGGGATCCAGCCCTGTGGTGGGCTCCTCGCTCAGTGTGGAGTCCGCTAGAGACCCTCCCCCTCTTCCTCTGCCCCTCCCCCAGCTCGTGGGCATACTCTCTCCTATAAATAAATACATCTTTAAAAAAACCCAAGTTTTATCTCTAAAGACTGATTTGGAAAGGAAGAGGAGAGCCATAGAACATTTGTGCTTTGTTAAAATAGAATTCCACTCCTCCGCCCTATAACCCCTCGCTTCCTTCCCCTCCCCAAAACCTCTACCCCACCGCTTCTAAGTAGTGTTGTGTTACAGACCATTTCGATGTTTTCTTGGGAGGAAACGGACTTTTATGTGGATACTTTGACACTGAAAACCACTCACCTGCTGTTTTGTACTCTTATTGGCTTTGACGGAGTAGTGGATGTCCTTCATGGCTCTCTCAATCAGGAGAGCCGTGTACGGTCTCTTCGTCTCAGGGTTCACACACTTGTCGGCGACGATGGTTGCGATGTCCCTGAACATCTGCTCCAGCTGCGTCTGCCGCTCTTTATCGGACACCTGGACCTCCCCTTTACTCAAAATCTAGAAAACCCAACAGGTTTAAAAAAACAAAGTTTTCACTGTACATCATTTGTGAACTAAACAGGAATGAACAACTTGGGGAGGAACCGAGTCCCAGCCTCCTCAGCTGCCCGGATGCCAGTCAGGGTTTGAGCTGCGCCCCCAGGAGACCCTGGATTACCCTGTGCCGTCAGATCTCATACTTAGGTGGGGATGGGGAAAGGGCAAACACGCACAAGTCGTCAATGGTGAAAACCTTGCAAAGAAATTCTATCTTCAGGTGCGTTACGCTAAAAATACATAAACGGACGAACAGCAGCAGGTCAGTGGAAGACTTCATTTCGGGCGCGGCAAGACAAGTCACGTCCTGGCTTATGACAAATGACGCCACACCGTAAAAACCCAAACGATGATTAAGAAGCGCAGAGAAGCTCAACAGGCAGTTCCCGAGGAGACAAACGGACGAGGCTCACGTCACCGGTCACCGAGGCAGCGCCAACCGGAGCCACCGTCAGCCGCCGCCCGCGGGAAGCACTTGAGTAAGAGCCCGGAGACCAAGAAACGCAGGGCCGCGGCGCCGTGGACAAGGGGAGCCCTTCGCAGCCCGGCGGGCACGAAAACTGGGGCAGCCACGGGGAGGACGGGGCGAGGCTCCTCCCAAGGTTAGAAGCGGAAACACCGTGAGACCCGAGACCCGCACACCGCGGCCGCAACGCAGAAAGCAAACAGTCCTGAAGACCCGCGCGCCCGCAGCTGCCGCCGTGCAGACCGCAGCCGCGCCGCGACGGGGGAGGCAGGGCGGCCCGTACGTCGGTGCGCAGACGGAGGACAGCGACCAGGGACGGAGGACAGCCACAGCGGACTCTCAACAGGGAGTCGGCGGGGGAGCAGGGACCGCGGGAACGAGGACCGCGGCTGAAGGTCTGACATCCGGGTCCAACAGACGTCCCGGAGCCAACAGGGACACCGCGCACGGGCCCAGCAGGACCGCAGCGGCACTGCCGGTGGACAGGCGGGCACCGCGACAGGCGGGCACCGCGACAGGCGGGGACCGGGACAGGCGGGGACCGGGACAGGCGGGGACCGCGACAGGCGGGGACCGGGACAGGCGGGGACCGGGACAGGCGGGGACCGGGACAGGCGGGCACCGCGACAGGCGGGCACCGGGACAGGCGGGCACCGCGACAGGCGGGGACCGGGACAGGCGGGCACCGCGACAGGCGGGCACCGCGACAGGCGGGGACCGGGACAGGCGGGCACCGCGACAGGCGGACACCGCGACAGGCGGGCACCGCGACAGGCGGGCACCGGGACAGGCGGGCACCGCGCCGACCACCGGACACGAACGCCACCGCACAGAGCTTGCGGGGGCACCTGGGGGCTCGGGCCACTGCGGTCCGACCCCTACTCATCTCGGGTCACGCCCTCAGGCGGAGACGGGGCCGCGCTGGGCTCTGCTCCCGGCGCAGACCCGCTCGGGCACCCCCAGCCCCCGCCACGCCCCGGTCAAAGCAAAGTCCCGGGACCCGGCCGAAGCCCCGCCGGGTTGCGCCCGCGCGGCGAGGACGTCGGGGCGGCCGCGGCTCACCTGCTTGCAGACCTCGGTCTGGTCGTCCGTCCCGAACGCGCTCAGCAGGTCCTCCTTCCGGGCCACCTGCCCCTTGGACACGTTCACGAACACGGAGTGCGTCTGCAGCACCTCGTCCAGGTCCTTCTCGCTGCCGACGGCGGGACACGCGCTGCGTGAACGTCCGGACGCCCCGACCCACCCGGCCGCCCCCCGCGCGCGCTGCGAACCCCGAGCCGCGGCCGCCGCCCCGCTCCTCCCCGGGCGCGAGCCGGAGGCGCCGAACCGGGCGGGGGTCCCGGTGCCCGACGGCGGCGGAGGGGACCCTGCGCCCGCGGATCCCGGCGACACCAGGGGCGACACCAGCGGCTCCACGAGCCCTTCGGAGCCGGGTCCCGGCCGCGCCCCCGCCCCCCCGCCGCGCCCGGCCGCGCACACTCACACGCCGCTGCGCCAGCTGACCACTTTGTTGCGGTAGCACGCGATCTCGAAGCGCTTCCCCGCGCGCTTCATGCGCACCACCGCCACGTTGGTCAGGCGGATCTGGTTGGTGGGGGTGAAGATGGACATGGCCGCCGCGCGCAGACCCGGCCGGGCCGCCGAGGCTCACCCGCGCTCGCTGTGGAGACCCGGGCCTCGAGAAGCCGCCACCGTCCCACACCCGGCTGACCTACTGCGCAGGCGTCGGGTGTGCCGGAAGTCGGGGGAAAAGGGGGCAACAACACCCGCGCGCTGCGGCTTTTACGACGTCGTTCCGCAGCCGACAAGCGAGGCTCTCTTCCTTAACGTAATACACTTCCGCCAATGAGCTACGCCGCCCTGATTGGGTAGTGCACGGGCTGTTTCCGCAACCGGGCGGAAACGTAGCGTCCGCCCCTTTTGGTTCCGCAGAGCTCGGGGCCACCCTACCTTAACTCTTTTTTGCGGGCAAACTAAGATGAAGTTGAGAAAAAAGGATGACGAACCCCCGCGAGTCCATCGCCCCGCTTCAACGATGATCAACGCTCTGCCGGCCTTGTGTCCTTCTCCCCCTTTTTTTGTTGGGGTAAATTACAGCCAGTTACGTTAGCTTTAAGTGCGTCCGTGTCTACTCCTTCCAGGCGCGCCCGGCAAGATCAGCGAATCGCCGGTCCACAACCACAGTCCCCGAAACGAGCCCTTTCCGTGGTCGCTGCGTTCCCACCGATGACCGGCCGCGGCCGCGCACGCCGTCGGACGGACGCGGCTCTCTCCGGGATCCTGTCTCTCGCCGGCGTCTCTCCCCGGCGCCACGCCTCCCTGGCCCGCCCCCTCTGGACACGCCCCTTGCGCCTTCGCACCAGTTCGGGAGCGTCACCCGGAGCCGTGGGCGGTGCTTCCCTCGGGGCCCGCCCCTTCCCGTCGGAGCCAATCCCAACGCGCCGGCGACCGGCATGGCGGCCCCCAGCGCTGAGGCGTCGGAGTGCGCTGGCCGCGCTTCAGGGTAGTTCGGCGGCCTCCGTGTGTGTGCGCGCCGGCGCCGGGCTCTCTCGGTCTGCGGTCCCGGGGTCTGTGCGCCGCGGGCCGGGCTCTGAGGAGCATGGGTAAGGGCCCTCCGGCGGGCGGCACAAGTGCAGCGGGAGGAGGGAGGAAGCCGCGTCCCCGGAGTGTTTCCCCGCGGAGCGCGGTGCTCCGGCCCCTGCTTCGGCGCTTGCTGCCGCCGGCGGGGGCCGCTGACCGCGGCGGGGGGGGGGGCGGACCGTGCTGCCCCCGCGGGGCTCGGGATAGGCCTGGAGAGGACCAAGCGTCCGACCTGAGTCCCGCGCGGGCGAAGCGCCGGCTCTCCTCCCCGCGTGCGCCGGGCCCTCGGTGCTTCCCTCGCTGGGCGCCGACCCCGCCCCCGCCGCCCGCCTTCCGGGCTCGTCCTCTGACCCGCGTGCGGGTCCCACCGGGAGGCTCGGCCTGTTTCCGCGCTGCGGGAGGGGCGGTGCGGGGGCGGGGGACCCCGTGCGGGCGGCGGGGTGTCCGAGGCGGGAAGCTCTGCGAAAGGAGCGTCGCGCTGGCCGCGCGCGGGGTGTCAGCGTCGCGGGCTCCGAGCGCCGTGTCCCGCGTGCGCGCCGTCGGTGCGGTGTCCTGTCGCCCCCGGTGCGGGCGGTCCTTGCGGTGTCCTCTCGCCCCCGGT